ATTCCTGCTCTAGGGAGGGGACGGTGAGATTAGGAACTCTGTGAGCACCCTGCTTTCCAGCCACACCCCTCGAATTCTGTGCCACACTTTGTTAAAACTTGCTTGCAAGGGAGCCGGGATTTGGTGACAGGCTGAAAGCGAGGTGGGATGGTACGTTTTTCCTCATTTCCTCTCCCCCCCATCTTTCTCTCACTCACACACACAGACACACATATTCATATACGTATGCACCGCTCTCCCCATAACTCTGTTCCTCCATGTTAAAGTCAAGAAGGACATATTTCTCTTCTTTCACATTATTTCTTTGCACATTTATTTGAGATCGTTTTTTGGTTCTTGTTGAAATTCTCAGGGCAATTGCATACGGCTACAAAAAAGTACTCCTAGTTGGCATGCTAACTTGTCTCACTGAATTTTCTGCATTGTTGCCATCTTAGTTGTTATGCAGTGTGTAGAGTATCCTTATTTTGAAATTAAGGCACCCCAGGACGATTTCAGACTTCTGACAGTTTGGTCTTATTTTAACGAAGCTCTTAAAGTTTACCTCTTCAACTGTAGAGCTTGATTGCTAGTCAGTAGGGGGAGGAGTATGTGAAAATGTTTCCGTATTTCCTGTTTCTCTCCCTTCCCGCCTTTGACTGTAGTCAGGGTGCTTTAGAGTTTTTGTTTGTTAAGTGGCTGATTTACAGGACTTTCAAACTGACCAATTTCATAGCAGAGAGACTCATGGAACAGCCATGTGATACGGGTGTTCATGTTATATGCAGTCGCAGAATAGGGGTTCTTTTTCCATTTGCCCTTATTTAATGTGGGCTTAGCCTTCACGGCTCATGATGAACAGTTACTGGCATGGCAGAACTCTAAATTTTTCTAATTTTTTACTCTTTTTTTTTTTCTTCAAAAAAACTGAGAGGTAATTTGTTTTTACATATTTTGGTTGAACAGTAACAGCATGCCATTTCTAAAGGTGCCATTAGGAACAATAGCACAACAGCTATTGAAGTGTGTGTAGAGTGAATGTTTTATTTTTTAAAAATTGTATTGAAGTATAGTTGATTTACAGTGTTGTGTTAATTTCTGCTGTACAGCAAAGTGAGTCAGTTATACATATATATATACTTTTTCATATTCTTTTCCATTGTGGTTTATCACAGGATATTGAATATTGTTGCCTGTGCTGTACTGTAGGACCTTGTTGTTTATCCGTCCTATATTTACTAGTTTGCGTCTGTTAATCCCAAGCTCCCAATCCTTCCCTCTGCCTTTAAGTTTTTTTTTATCCTCTTAATCTCAGTTTGTTTATTTAATTTGAAAGAACTAAAAATACAGGGTAGAGACATGAGAAGGATAGAAATTTTGTATTATATGTCAAAAGTGAAAAATCACAGGAAATTTTGATTTTTAGATTCATAACTCTTGCTTAACTTACTGGCTTTGAGAGAAACGGGACTGAAATTGGACTGAAAAAAAACAAACAAAAAGATGGTAACAGAATTCTTCACTTGTTAGCAGTATGCCAGGCACTGTGCTAAACGCTTTATCCAACTTGTTTCATTTAATCCATTAAAAACCCCTATGAAGTGTACGGTGCTGTTATCACCCCATTTACCAATGAGAACATGGAAACACTGAGGAGTAAACAATGTTTCTTGGATCATACACCTCCTCAATGCTGGAATTGTCCTAGGCTGGAGTCCATGTTGCACCCTCTCATGCAGTACTGCCTGAAGCTTGGATGGTGTGAAAAACCATCACTAATCTCTATGCTCAGAGCTGGTTGAGTAGGGTTGGGTGGTGTCAGGAGGGGATGGCAGCTTAATCAGTGAAGGACCTTCCTTAATATTTGGGGCCAAAGACTCTGAGGTTTGGCTTTGCCATTTCTCAGGCATTTGGTCTAAGCCTAAGACTTTTTAGATTAAAAAGACAGTAAGACTTCCCTGGCGGTCCAGTGGTTAAGACTGTGCTTCCAATGCAAGGGACACGGGTTCGATCTCTGGTCGGGGAACGAAGATCCCATATGCTGCAAGAAAGCTTAGCTTTACCATTGTTAGTAAGGGCAGCTACTTACAAGGTGCTTTAGTGGATTTAAAGCACTAGATCGATTTATAGACTAAATGCTTTTCTGCACTGTGATTCTACAGTTCTGTCATTTTTTAGAGGCCAGAATTAAATCTAAAACCATCACATATATTCAGCGGAATTCTTGAAACCCTCATGAGCTCTTCATACGTAGACACAAACAAGAAGCATAGTTTACAATTAAGAGATTTTCAGGTATGAGATAACAGTCTAGCAAATTATTTGAAAAGTATGTCTTTAAATTACTTCCGTGTTGCTGAAACCTCTTAGGACTGTCTCTAGGAGCCTTCTTATTTCCCCTTGTTTTTTCCTTGTCTGAGACCAGCTGTGTTGCTGATTTGTTTCCTTGAGCTGTGTTAGTGGCTGCTTCTTGGGTTTTCCCTCTTCAAGGTTGTGTTTGGAACTCTGCATATCTGCTGCTTCTTCTTTTTTCTTTTTTAATCGGTACGCGGGCCTCTCACTGTTGTGGCCTCTCCCGTTGCGCAGCACAGGCTCCGGATGCACAGGCTCAGCGGCCATGCCTCACGGGCCCAGCCGCTCCGCGGCACGTGGGATCTTCCCGGACCGGGGCACGAACCCGTGTCCCCTGCATCGGCAGGCTGACTCTCAACCACTGCGCCACCAGGGAAGCCCTGCATATCTGCTTCTTTATGAGGAAAAAATGTCCTCATAAAGGAACAATAAAGTCCTATATCTTTTCTTTTTCTTTCCTTTTTAATTTAATTTTTATTTTATTTCTTAACTTTTTATTGTAGTAGAGTTGATTAACAATGTTGTGGTCGTTTCAGGTGTACAGCAAAGTGATTCAGTTATACATATATATGTATCCTTTCTCAAATTCTTTTCCCATTTAGGTTATTACAGAATATTGAATAGAGTTCCCTGTGCAGTACAGTAGGTTCTTGTTGATTTAAAGTTATGTCTCTTGTTGAAGGGCCTCCTCCGTTTGGTTCCAGCTGGGTCAAACACTACTGCATGTATCGGAAAGCGGCCAAGAAGTTCAACATCATTCCGTTCGAGCACAGATCTGGGGGGAAACTAGTAAGTCTTTGCTTTTATTTATTTATTTTTTTAAAAATATTTATTTATTTATTATTTTTTGCTGCAACAGGTCTTAGTTACAGCACGCAGGATCTTCAGTTGCGGCATGTGGGCTTCTTAGTGTGGCATGCATGTGAGATCTAGTTCCCTGACCAGGGATCGAACCTGGGCCCCCTGTATTGGGAGCGCAGAGTCTTACCCACTGGACCACCAGGGAAGTCCCAAGGCTTTGCTTTTATACTTTATATTCTCTGTGAGGTGGTCTTTGAGGGGATCTTTTTAATGTTGTTTATATTCACTCATGATAAATACTTTCATTTTGTTTTTAGAATGAAAATCTTTTTTTTTTTTTTTTTTTTAATAAAATAGGCCAGAAAATAATTCCTGTGTTTTCTGAATTGTTGGCATGGGTTTTTGTGGTCAGATTTTTTTTTTTTTTAAGGAGAAAAGTAGAATCATTTTGTGTCCCTGTTATTGGAAGATCCAGTTAACACCTACAACAGACTTTCATGACTCAGTGGTTTGTCTGCTCAGGATTTACACGGGAGCCCTGACGTGCACACATAGATTCATATAAATGAAAAAATTATATAGAGTAGATGACCTGTAACGAAGTTTACTGTTTTTCACTTAAACTTTAATGTTCTCACTTAGACACTCCCCATTTAGCTTACTCCTCCCACAGAAGTAAAAAGCAAAGGAACTCATGATAGCTGGGAAAGGGCGAGAAGCCCTTAGGAGCTGGCTGGGTAGGGAAGGTGATCTTTGTTTTAAAACGGAAGCTGCAGCTCGTGGCAACAATAACAGTCAAAGCTCCTCCCACTAGTATTACACATACCTGGTAATGCATTTTAAGGTTAATTCATTGCTTGCTGGGTGGATGGGCATAATTTTTCTTATGTGAATACAGAATTAACCCAGGTTCACTTGTATTTACACATACGTTGCATCTTCCTGAAAAATACTTAAAGCCGCTTATAATACAAACGCATTTTTGTGATATTGAAATAGACATGGAAAGTCAAGTCCATGGCAAAGAGGAGGAAGTGAGTGGGGTTGTCACCCTTGGAGGGTGATGGGTTAAGACTGAGCGTGAGAGAGTTTGTTGTTTTGTGGTGGTAGTGTTGTTTTAAAGATCGCAGTAATTTATATTTGTCAAATGTAATGTGTCAGCCGCATAGAAAGCAAAATTTGTTGTTAAGTGACTCATCAAATATAATAAAAGAGCAAATTCCATGAATGAACAGAAGCAGTGCACAATTCATTCACCAAATGCCCGCGATTATTTCGCATTTCAGAGGGCCACTGATACAATCAGAAGTTGTAGTAAAAGGATAAATATGGGTTAACTTCAGCATCTCTATACATTTCAATTATACACTGAGCATGAGGTTGGAGTGTGAGTTTCCTGTCAAGTCCCAAGACATGTCTGCTTAGTGGTGTCTTTCTGTTTTACCTACAAAATAATAAAAAAATATATTTAAAAACTTGACTGATATTTGGAATAATTTTATATTCAAATGCTTGTTTAATATTAGAGATCCCCATGTTCCAGAAAATGTTAAAATAGTCTAGAAGTGTTTACTCAGACTCCTTACAGTTTCTCACTGGGAACCTGCTTCTGCGTTGCTTCTGTTTCCTGTTTTCTACCTCTCTTTAATGCTCTTAAAGAGCATGATGAGGATGGTTTAGGGAGGTGAATGGTACCATATTTAAACAAAAACTCAGGAAAGATAAATTCAGGGTGATTCACTTTAAGAAACAGCAAAACCATATAGTTGGAGTGGTTCCAGCTTTAGATGCTCACAATGGCTGATCCAGGGTCCTTAGTGTACTTTTAGGTAGATTCCTGTGGAACTGAAGTTTTTATAGGTCAGAAATGGTTACATATGGACTGTTTTATATGGTATAGTGTAGTGTGACATACAAACACATTATCCTTCTTTTAACAAGGGGACAATAAGAGAATAACAAATATAGGCATGTGGAAACTGTATTGTTAATCCACCTTTTAAAATTAGCACTCATAAGGTCTGGTTTAATTTTATTGTAATCAAAGCAGGATCTTGAAAACCTTAAGAAAAGGACAGTGACAAAAAAGAATTTGCAAAAGAATAGATACATGTATATGGATAACTGAATCACTTTGCTGTACATCTGAAACTAACACAATGTTAATATACTTCAATATAAAATAAAAAGGTAAAAAAAATGGCTACGACTCTAAATAAACTGGTTTGAAAGAGAATAAGATAGAGGAACCTAAAATCTGAACCTTGTCTCCTCCCCCCATCCAATATAGGGTGTTTAATTCTGTATGTTTATACTGTAGTTTTTGAGAATGTTTAAAATGATTCTTTGCAGGGGGATGGAGAGGTGTTCTTTTTGAAAGAATGTACCAGAAGGCATACTGACTCCATCGACAGAAGGTTTTGTTTTGATGTAGAAGCTGCTGACCGGTAAGTTATTGGCATTATTGGACTTTATGAAAAGAGTCATTTAAAAAAATGATTTAAAAAAATAGAAGTTAATTGCAACTGAGTTGTCTGTGGCCTGGAAGAGTGGTATCTTGTTATCTTTCCAGGCTCTGTATTCACTGTAGGCTGTTTCATCTTGGTCACTATGTTTAGCTGTGCAGTGATAGCTTAGCCTTGGCTGAAGTTTGGCATCATTTTAACTAGTGTTGTCACTTAAAAAATGACCTTGGAGCATTTCATTGTTGATCTAAGCCTTCCATGTATATACTCTGTATGTGGTGGAGGGTCATAGGCAAACTCTGTTTATTCAAAGACTAGTTCTCATTTTTTCTTGTGGTATGACTTTTAGTTATTTAGTTAGAAAAGAATCTTTGCTGGAGAGAAGGAAGTAAAAAAAAGAAAAAGAAAAGCAAAGCTTGTTTGTCAATATTACTACTTGTCTGGCATTTATTTCTGTGTCCTGAAGCACTAAGGAAAATCATGGTACTCGTAGAATACTTCCTTTTTTAATGGCTGACACTGTGGAGGTTCCTTGCCAGCCCTGGTAACAATGGTCTTTAGATAACACTGTTTCATACTTGTATAATGAAAGTTCACAGTATGAGATTTTTTAAACACAAGTTCATTTTAGGTCAGGACCCAGGAATACAAAAATAATTAATTCTTCTCTTCCCTCAGATGATATAACTGAGTCTATGGTGTTAGTGCAGAGGGGGAAGATCTATGCTTTACTTTCCAATAAATGAATTGAAGACCAGGTACATAAAAATGTGCTCTTATGCACCATGATAAATATGGCCCTACAAAGAAAAGGACAGATGGTTTAATATGCATTTTGCCAAGACTGGAAAAAAATGAAAGGGAACGTCATTGGGAAAGACGTTAAATTTCAAGCCAGTTAGGACTGGTTCAAAAACTTTAAGAAGAGATTCTGGCTGTGTAATACAACTTGAGCATAAATATGTGTGCATACACCCATTGTAAGCATTTACTGAGTTTTCTCTAAGTGCCAGCGTTCTGAATTCTTCTGTGCTTTATCTCAGTTCATCCTCAGCCCAGCTCTATCAGGTAGACATTATCCTTCTCATTTTATGGTGAGAGACTGCGGCCTACAGAGCTTAAGTGATTCTCCTAAGGTCACGTAGCTAGTAAGTGGAAGAGCTGAGATTTGAACTCTTGCATCTGCCTTTAGAGCCCAAGCTCTTAACCACTGTGCTGCAGGCATCAGAGTATAACCATGTAAGTGTGTTGTTTCCTAAATAATTGACAGAGGCGAGTCAGCAATGATGTCTACTAGAAAATGTGTTAAATGAGATTCATCTGCTTTGTCTCGAAAGGATAATTCTAGTACTTCCATATATTAACACAATTCGTATTATTTTTGTCCAGCCCTATATTTTCTCTAAGACCTCGATCATGCCAAGTGCTCTTCTGCAATCGGGATCTTTATTACGATTTTAACTACTTTCCATCCCTCGTAAAGGTTGATGAGGGGGTACTATGTAGTTATTTTCCTCATGATATCATCTTGTAAGGATGATACTCAGAACTGGGGGAGACCTTAAAGATGATCTAGTCTAGTGGTTTTCAAACTACTTTATAGGGTTGCCTTCTTTTCAAATAAAACCTTTACATTTATGCATATGTGAAATAGAAAAAGAAAAAGAGAGTTCCCTTATTAAAGTGGGGTAGGGGGCCTGGATCCTTAACCTCTCAGCTTCATTCTTCTTGCAGAAATCTCTAATTTATTTCCATTGACACTCAGAGCTGCTGTCTGGGAACTGGGTGTAGAGGGACCACTAATCGTCTAAGTGATTCAAGAAAGGCGTACAGAGGATCTGACGTCTAAATTGATAACTGAAGGTTTATTTGGAGTCAGCTAGGATTGAGACACATTCCAGGCAGAGTGATGTATAATATGTGTAAAGTTCTGGAGACAAGAGAGAGCGTGGTCTGCTTGAGGTCCCCCCCGGCCCGGGGGACACCCAGCATCACTGGAGCAGAGAGCCAGGGAGGATGGGACAGGAGGCTTGAGAAGGGGGGCAAAGGCCTGACCTTGAGGTTTTTGAGTTTAACCTATTAAATGGTTTTAAGCAGGGCACTGAGTGATAGAGTTATATTTTTCAAAACTAACTCTGGCAGAGTAGAGAAAGTTTAGAAACGGCAGGAGTGGTTGGAAGGGTTATGGATTGGTGTGGTGTAG